AGAGTAACAAGACCATGTATCACTACGACAGATGAAAAGACAAACTTTGTTAAATCTCTCCACCATCTGCGCAAAAGTAAAGATGCAACAACCTTCGATTTTGTTCAATCACTGTTTTGTAAGGTTTTTTAATTCAGCAAAGAATATCGTGAGGGCGAAGAAGTGTGGTTTATGTACACCAGAAATAGAAAATTTTAACTTTTGCGACCGCGCATAAAGACGTAACTTGTTCTTCCTCCACATTGCGAGGGCTATAAAACCAATTTTAAGCTGACGCTTGACATTTGCGGTTGGTATAGTTAGAAAATCTAATCGCCGAAGATATTTCTACAGAAAATCTACTTAAAAGTAGCGTTTTTTTCAAATGTCAAGTTGGCAAACCTGTTTTCGGTAATTCATTTTCAGGTCCATACAGTTACATAGAAGATTAAAATATGTGAAGTTGATAGAATTTTAAAGTGTCGCAGAGGTTATTAGTACTCACGTTCCCGCGCCACCCGCATAATGGGTCCGGCTTTTTGTGGCCATTATAGCTAGTTGGGGCGGGGGTGACATAGGCTGTATTGTTTGTACGTCGAGAAGGTGGAGTACCCATCACTGGCATGGGGGGGGGGTTGGGCGGAGTGCGATAACCATCTGGGGGTCAGCGTTAGCCACGGCGACAGAGCGCCGCATCAACGTCAAACAACACTCAGCCTATGTCACCCCCTCCCCATTTGCCCAATGACCACAACACGTCGACCTCGCCATGCGGGTGGCGTGGGAAGGATGAGCGTTAATAACCCCCGAGACGCTTATAAACCCTGTCAACTTCTCCTACTTTCATTTTCCATATAATTACGTATGCCTGATGATGAATTATTGGTAACACGTGTTTGCCATATTGACTTTTTAATTATAACTTCCCAACTCGACTTAAGACCTTGTGGGTCAGTACGACAGTGACAGTTTCCCACTAAAACTATAATTTTCAGTCCGCACAGGGCCTTCTGATTGAGCATATCCACTGGTACTTGAAGGCAGACGTATGGCTACCTCACCTACATAGGCATCTGGAGACGGTATATTTCGAGATGATGACTCAAAGATTTCCTCAGATTTATGACGTCTTTTAACCCCCCTATTAACTGCTCTACATATTCCGCCGACACTCCCAATTATTTATCTTCCGACAATCGTTCCTGTCTCCCGCACAAATAAAAGACATTTAATGCGTCAAGAAGACACACGACCGATAAGAATAGTAGTGAAGCATGTTCAGCTGCAAGAATTACGGGTTCGTATGCGAAAACAAAACAAACACACAGATAATTTTCGCGCGATAACAGTCGCAGTGCGGGCGAAAACGTCTACCGCGGGAGCAGCCAAATGACTTTAATTGGTTAAATAAAGATACGTTTAGGAGTACGTTTGTCGACACTTGTAGATAGTAGTGCATCGGGTCGCAACGACTGTTCTTACGGCGACGCATATGAACGTTGCAGTTACGGCAAAACATGCTGAGCAGAATGCAGGAACAGGTTTAACTGAATGACAGCAACACGCTCAAGAGCTTCGAAATAAGTGTTGGAGTGTCTGCAGTTCATGAAATTTAAGTAATTGGAACGAACAAAAAAACCTTAAAAAATATACATTTACGCCTACGCAGCATATTGCTGACTTAATAGTTAAAGAAAGTAAATTACTATGCATCCAAAGATAGGGCTTTTCGTAGCATAGATGCCACACCGTTAATTGTATACATGGTTGCATCAACGCTATACCTCGTATTGTAATTGCGAGGACGTCAAATACGAAAAAGAGTATCTCTTATGCTTCACTTATGTGTGATAGTTGGAAGTACATCAGCGCTTCCGGCAGGGTTTGTTTTGTTTTCTACTGCAACTGTGGCTATAAGGAATAAGTGATGTAAGTGCGTTCTATGTAATTCCGTGTCCTCATTTCATCCTCACTCCTGCATCAGTGGTGCCCCACATCAATAGACCTAATTTAAGTAATTTTCTTAGAATGCGCGACTCTGACGAAAAAACTTGAGAGTCTACACTATCACTCGCCAGTTATAGAGAGAAAAAGCGCCTTCTTCTGTTCCGCCAAACATAGGAGTGCTCACGTTATTAAATCTCACTGTTCATTTCGGTCGGCGAGAAGGAATGCTGCCTCCAGCCTTTACAAACAACGTCAATTAAATCAGTCATGCAAAAATTTTCTGATCAAATGAATGGACAGCAGTGCAAAAAGACATTTGCTATCGGTAAGGAATGTTGGCGATTATCGCTCATATTTTATCATTAAAATAATTCTTCAAAATGATTTAGTAATTTCCATAAGAACGGAAAGCGCTTCGATTGCGTTTACTCAAGACAGTCTGTCTGGGTCAAGCATCCCGCCAGACAGACATTCGAGTCAATGTTGTTGACCAGATATAATGTCCAGTGTTCTTCTACTCACTTGGCAAAAATGTTAATTGCACCATACATTCTGTTCTCCTTCGTTGAAGTTTCGACAATAAACGGTCATACTAAGGGGCCATCTTAAGAAGAAATTTTTTGCGGTTTTCTTGCAGGAGATATACTGGAACAAAAGATCAGTGGGATAAAAAAAACAGAACTATGCTTTACCCATGTGAAATACGCGTCTAAACGAACTGCCAGCTTCAGCGTTAATTTGCAGCCTTACCTCTGAAGACAAACTAATTTACTGATTAAACAAATTGCATTTGTACTTAAGTTATATATTCCTGACAGTTTGTCCCGACTGATGGCTAATGAAATTTAGGGTAAGGTAATACCATACTAACAGCACAGGTACAAGCTAGTACATGTGCTGTTAATATGGTATCACCTTATCCTAAAGTATACAGCTAACTGCCTGTCGGCAGTTAATGAATATTACGCGGTTATCCGCTGTGGCTGATGGACTTCGGCCCAAATATGCACATATAAAATTCTCGGTCTGTGCCTATAGACCCTGAATAAAATGATCTACTCCAAGTTCGTGGGTTATTTCTAAAGAAATTAAAAAAGCGACAAATGAACTTGTCAAAAGTATCCATAGAACGTTTTCTGAAAAGCTTTCATCATTTCCACAAGATTACCCTGCAAATGATGAATACTGCAACACCCGTAGATCAAATAATCGACCACTCATGTGCGCTACTGCTCCTACTGGCGACCATACTAGGCTTGAAAAGTCAACCCTCTGACTACAAAAAGGCCTATAGAATGTTGCCGAATTCATCAATTACATCAATTTTCCTCCTCCTCCTCCTCCTCCTCCTCCTCCTCCTTCTCTTCCTTCTCCTTCTTCTTCTTCTCCTCCTCCTCCTCCACCGCCTCACCCTTGTTTGGCTTCAACCTCCAAAAGCAGAGATGTCTCTCTCTGAACCAAACTGACTCGACTTACCCCTTCCTGGTGTCAAAACTGGTGCTAGTCAATTTCCTGCTTCCATCGATGGATAAACCCTCTGTGAAACCTTCCAACGCTCATCGTATGAGAGTTTTTTCTTACAATTATCTTTGAAGAGGCTCACGGATTCATCCGTTTATACACCCACTGCATCCGTCCGGTCTGCACACCTGGCGAATACCGCGAGATACCGAGGGCTGCTTTCGGCCAAGACTGTTTTCTTTTGGACACTAACACCCCCTCTTCCTGCCACTCCCCGCGGACGCCGCTCCTTGTCCTATGAAACTGACTTCCAATATCTAACGGTCAAGCCCATATGATGGTCATTGGTCGTCTATGGTTGCCACAAAACCATCGCCACTAGATACACTGGAATATATCCGCAGCACTAGCTTTGCCTTCACTTCTGTCAGGTCCGCTGCTGGTCGGATGTCCTGCGAACAACCTGACGCCGTAAATTTGGAATTGAAGTCTCGTTTCGCTAACTTACATCGTACCCCGGGTTCCCGCAATAACTGCTTTGGTTCGCGAGCTGTACAGTTAAAATCCAAACGCATCTCGGGTGCGCCCATACACACGAACCTGGATTCCTCTCAGTTGATGTTCTCCGTCAACATGTACCTCTGTTTCACAGCCAGTAACATGCGCAACCCGCCGTCTGGCGCCCCAGAAGCTGTCGTCTCTCAACTCTCGGCCCACTTCAATTATGGTTTTGCGGTTTTCCCTTCCCGTCACAGCGATACTGACTAGGAATTTTGGGGGCCCCGCGTAGCAGACGTTCTTCGGCGGACCAACACCGTCGAAGAGTTGGCGATTTAGTGCTGTCAGTTGTCTTTCGCGTCTCGGTGTAAGATGACGAAGGTGTCGTCTACGTAGCGCATCCAGAACTTCGGCTTGTATGTCTGAAAGACCCGAGTTTCCAGTTCCTGCAAGACCGCCTCAGCCGAGACGCGAAAGACAACTTTAAAAGAGAGTTGGACTCAATTTTTCCACAAATCCAATTTACCATGGAGGAAGAAAATAACGGAGTGCTCCCTTTCCTCGACGTCCAGGTATCGAGTCAGGAGGACGGAACCCTCCAGACTGGTGTCTTTCGAAAGGCCACAGACACGGAGAAAATTCTTCATTACAACAGCAATCACCCCCTGTCGCATAAACGCAGTTGTGTCCGGACCCTTTTTCGCCGCATCTACACACACTGCAGCACAGAAGCCGAGAAGTTGCGGGAGCGTAAAACCCTATGGCGCCTCTTTCTTGCCAATGGATATCCGCGCAGTTTTGTGAACAAATGCTTGTACCGAAGGTACACGAAGACGGACGGTGAGAAGAAACAAAGACCAGAAATCTTCCGTGTCTTGCCCTACGTGAGTAACGTCTCCGAAGCCACTGAGCGCATGCTAAGGCCGCTAGGCGTGGGCGTTGGTCACCGACCGGAGGCCGCCATCCGCCGCTTAATCATGCAGCCCAAGGACCGGCTACCACCTACAGACACGTCAGGCGTCATTTACCCCGTCAAATGTCTGGACTGTCCAGCCAACTACTGTGGCATGACCGACAAACGCCTAAGAACGCGCATGCATGAGCACACTTTGGCCGTAAGGCGAAAGGACGTACTATCGCATGTCGCCATGCACTGCCTGGAAAACAATCACAAGTTCGACTTTGACGGCGCCCAGGTGCTCGGCCGAGCCGAAAGCAAACTGGCGAGGGAAGTGATCGAGGCCTGGAAATCAGACACGAACTCTATCAACCGAAGTATCGATTTGCCAGCGCCATACGAGGCCGTCAGGCACCATCTACGCGCGAGAGGGGGGCCAACGAGAAGCGAACGGGACGAACCTATCGGGTGAGAGTGCAGATGGCCTATTTAAACCCTGTATTTCTCACTTAGCCTATCTCCGAAGATGTGCTCGAGCATGAACACGAAACGTCAGATGAATAAACCTTCTTCCCCAGAGATCGCCTCATCCTCCTCTTCCATATATACATATATATACGCAGAATTGTATTACCGACAAAGACAAGAGAGACTGGAATTGCCATTTCTGGCTTATTAGCCGTCGTCAGCCAGCCATACCCAAGCCAGAAATGGCCATTCCAGTCTCCCTTGTCTTTGTCGGTAATACCATTCTGCCTATATATCATGCGCCGCTGTGCGGCTGCTGGTTGGGCTCGAGAGAGAGTCCATAAGGCACAACGGAACGAGTGAGTTCTGTATGAACGATCGGTGAGCGCCCCCTAACATTATATATATATATATATACATATATTGAAATCAAAAACGTTCTTTGGGAAAGGGAGAAAACTTTATTGAGTAAATTTTCGACGTCGGTTCCCCGTGTCGTCGTCAGACTAGAGTAATTGTGCTGAAAACAATTAAAATTTCAAACGTGCTACAAAATCAATACTCATTTGGTGCCTCAGCTAGTAAGCTGCCGTCGTATGTGTCAGTCCGTATTGATCGGCTTTCGTCCCTTCCACTTTTCTCTGAGATTCTTGTACGTGGCATCTAACTCGATGTGCCTGTTGATGCATGACTCATCGGAGTGCATGGCTTCAAGAAACTCTCGGCCTTTTTAGATGGGCAAACTCCGACGATGCGAGTTTTGTCCCATGCGAACTTGAATAAATCAGACTACAATGAGAAGATGTTGTCACCCTTAGAAGATAGTTCAACGTATAAGCCTCTATCCACGGACCCTACGAAAGGACAGAATTCATCGATTGACAGAGTGCTGAAGCGCCTCACGGGAACGAAAAAAGTGACAGGAGATATTGCAAAATCTCTGAGACAATCCGAACCAACCATCGCCAAGATCTACGGATTGCCCAAAGTTCACAAACCTGAGGTACCACTGCGACCGATAGTATCATTAATCGGTGCACCCAATTACAAAATTTCTAAGTGGCTATTCCACCAACTTCATCCACTTATGAGAGATTGTGCCACTTCCATTCAGAACTCCATGGATTTTTTAGAGAAATTGAGAGACATCACAATTTCCGCGGATGAGATAATGGTCTCCTTTGATGTGGTTTCTTTGTTCACTTCCATACCATTAGATTTCGCAAGGCAATGCACAGATGAACTCCTAAAGTCCTATGACAGGGATATTCCCGCATCTGCCTTACTTGAACTTATGGACCTTTGTTTAGAAACCAATTTTTCGTTCGATCACCAATATTATCAACAACTAAAAGGTGCTCCAATGGGATCACCCATATCTGGCTTTCTTGCCGAGGTGACAATGCAGAAATTGGAATCGATGACTCTTCCATTAGTTAACCCTAAGTTATGGGTACGATATGTAGACGACACGTTTATCGTCGTTAAAACGGATCAACTAGAAATACTCCACGACACACTCAATTCAACCGTTCCGGGAATTAAATTCACGTTGGAAAAAGAACTTGACAATAAACTCCCATTTCTAGATGTTCTTGTACAGCGTAAGACTGACGGAACATTACAAACCGCCGTTTACCGCAAAGAAACATATGCAGAAATAATTCTACACTATGAGTGCAACAGTCCGATCTCTCACAAGCGGAGTACTGTCAAAAGTCTAATACATCGAGCAAAAACACATTGCTCTGATGAAGAAAGCTACAAAGTTGAACTAAACTACCTATTTGAATTATTTTCCCAGAACGGATACCCGAGAGATTTCGTACGTCGATGCATGAAACAACAAGAGATAAAAACAAAGGAACTAGATAGTTCCAATCAAGCGCCCAAAGCAAACACTTGGCGAATCCTTCCTTAGATCAGGAATGTGTCTGAACTTGTTGAAAGACACTTGAGGAAACACCAGATAAAAGTGGCGCACAAGCCGACGACTACTTTACGCACCCAGCTTGTGCACCCTAAGGATAGGGTTGGCTATCTCGATAGAAAAGAAGTCGTCTATAAGATCCCATGCGATGCCTGTGATGCCGTATATTGTGGCCAAACGGGAAAATTTGCCTCTACACGCATCCACGAGCATCAACTTGCAGTTAAGAGGCGAGACCACTTGTCTCAAATGGCCATGCACACTCTTGATACTGGGCACAAGTTCGCGTGGGACAAAACTCGCATCGTCGGAGTTTGCCCATCTAAAAAGGCCGAGAGTTTCTTGAAGCCATGCACTCCGATGAGTCATGCATCAACAGGCACATCGAGTTAGATGCCACGTACAAGAATCTCAGAGAAAAGTGGAAGAGACGAAAGCCGATCAATACGGACTGACACATACGACGGCAGCTTACTAGCTGAGGCACCAAATGAGTATTGATTTTGTAGCACGTTTGAAATTTTAATTGTTTTCAGCACAATTACTCTAGTCTGACGACGACACGGGGAACCGACGTCGAAAATTTACTCAATAAAGTTTTCTCCCTTTCCCAAAGAACGTTTTTGATTTCAATTCATATTTCTTGGGATGCCTGCGTTCCAATATACATTTATATATGAGATGGTACCGACAAAGACAAGGGAGACCGGAATGGCCATTTCTGGCTTATTGGCCGTCATCAGCCAGTCATAGCCAACCCCAAGTGTGGATCACTTGAGATTCGAACCCGGGATCTTTGGTCATGGAGTTTGACGCTCTACCATTGAGCCACGGGCCCGTTGACCTGTCGGTTGTGATCGGGAATATTAATTATGATAGTGGGCGCTCACCGATCAGGTTACGGAACATGCTCGTTCCGTTGTGCCTTGGGGTTGGGTATGACTGGCTGATAACGGCTAATAAGCCAGAAATGGCCATCCCGGTCTCCCTTGTCTTTGTCGGTACCATCTCATCTATATCTACTACTACTAGTCGCTATGAGACTGCCTGCGAGGGTTCTAGTATGAGCCCCAAGGCACACCGGAACGAGCATGTTCCGTAACCTGATCGGTTAGCGCCCATTATCATAAACATATATATATATATATGAATAACTGATGTGGTGTGCATTCCGAGGTGATATAATATATATATATATATACACTGACCCCCGTATCGCGCATGCATATAGCCTTCCAAAAGTGCGCAAACCAGATGCACCATTGAGGATAATAGTGCAACTCATCGGGTCGCCCACTTGCAACCTAGCCAAATGGCTTTACAGGCATCTGAAGCACCTCGCTGATGGATCACAATACAGCATCACAAATTCTCAGGCATTCCTTCAAAGAATTGAAGGTCTTAAAGTAAGTCCTGATGAAAGTATTCTATCATTTGATGTTGTCGCATTGTTTTCCTCAATACCGCATGACCTTGCCATTGAGAGCGTGGCCCAACGCTTACGAGACAATCCCATCGACCTTCCAACACATCACGTTCTAGAATTGCTTAAGCTCTGCCTCAATAACTATTGCCAATTCGATGGCAAATACTACCAGCAGGTTAAGG